GCTAACGGCTCGCTCATTCAAAATCAACAGCGACGTTTTGAACGCCGGGCGGAGCACTTCCAAGCACAGTTTAGCTGGCCACCAGCATCAGCTTCTCATAGCTACTCCGGTACATATCCCATCGTCTGTATCAACAGACTCACCTTTAGAGGCCGAAAGCATTAAGAAAATCCATCCTTGGGACGTTACAAAGCGTCGGGCTCCGATGGCCTTCCCCCAGCTCTATTTCAAGGTGGTGGAATGAAGCTTTTTGGAGAACTCCACGTCCCGTTCTCTAAAGTTTGGAACACTGAACAGGTCCCCTCCTCGTGGGAAACCGATTATCGTCTCCATCTTTAAAAAGGGCCTGCGCAATGATTGAGCCAATCATAGGGGTACAAGCCTGATCCCAATAGCGTCAAAGCTGTTGGTATCCGTCATTCTCCACTGATTGTACATTACGCGTGAGGAACAGGCTGGGTTTCGCATCGGTCACGGATGTATTGATCAAATATTCACCCTCCGACAGCTGCTACAGCACCGTCATGCCTATCGAAGACCAACGATCATTGTATTCTTAGACATCCGCGAGGCCTTCGATTCTAGCGATAAGATCGCACCATGGAACTATTTGTCACGGAATGGTGTACCCGACAAGTATGTGTCGATCATCAAAGAGTTGTATCATCATACCTCAGGTCAGGTTAGGGCCTACGGCCAACTTTCGTCACCCTTCGTCGTCTCCAGTGGAGTTCGACAAGGCTGCTCTATATCCCCTTTCCTTTTCAACCTTGCCATAGAGGGTGTTCCACAGAATGTTTTGTCCGGTCTAGCAAACGGTGGAGTCGAACTCCTCCCAGGGAACAGAGTCTTTCACTTAGAATATGCCAATGACATCGCGTTGCTGGGTGACAACACACAGGTAATCCAAAACTCTTTGAAACGCTTGGCGATAGAGTTATCCAGATATGGTATGTGCTTTGCACCATCAAAGTGCAAAGTGCTTGTTCAAGACTGGCAGGAGCCTGTCTGCATTCACCCTTTGCGGTGATCACCTGCAAGTAGTTGAGTGCTTTAAGTACCTCAGGAGCTTGATAGCAGCTGGTAGTGATGTGAATAGCGAAAGCTAGAGAAGCTTTCACCAACCTGAGACACCTGTGGCGCCGCCATGACATCCGACTATCCCTTAAGGGAAGGGTGTACATCGCCACGGTTCGCAGTGACTATTCCCTGATACAGCCGCTACTTCCATTTCACTACCTATTGTTGCCCACCAGTTCTCACGGTGCTTCTTGAGACTTATAGTGAGCCGACGTTGTAGCTGCCGCCCCACTCTATTTTGATCCTGGAAGGTCGGGACTTGCCGATTTGCTCCATCAGGGCTACTGACTCCTGAGATATCCAATGCTGCATCAAAGTCCTCACGTTGAAGGCCCCCAGATACAGTGATTGATGAGGCTTTAGAATCTGAAACCCCTTCCGTGGTAAATCACTTACAGTGCTATTTGGCAATGACCTTTGGCGAGC